ATCTATCTATCTATCTATCTATCTATCTATCTATCTATCTATCTATCTATCTATCTATCTATCTATCTATCTATCTATCTATCTAATCTTGAATTCCATTCAGAGGTGGGTTCCTACCTGTTCGGACTGGTACGGCCAAGTAGGTAGTAACTCGGCTGGCCACGCCCCCGAACCGGTTCTATCACCATTTTGATTTTAGGTTCTGCACATGCACAGAACAATATTCATAGGTAGAAATGTAATCCCCCCCCCTTTTCTAACGTTGTGCGCATGCACAGACCTTTTTAGGTTTTATTGTTTTTGATTTTGTAAGCCGCTAGACAAATCAAACAAATAAATAGATAGTGTGGCATCATACCATTCAGCTGAGATCTTTATTCTCTCTGCTTGTTAAAAGTGAGCACTTAAAAGCTGGGCCACTGGCCTTCTTTTTCCCCCTTGAGATAACCACGCCGTGCTTTGTTCTCTTTTCTCCAGTCAACATTGGTGTTGGAGAACCTGATTTCATTTTGGGGCAGCTGTACCGTCTCTCTTCAGCCCAGGCTCCCGAAGTAGCGAAATCATGGGCCGCTCTAGCTAGCTGGGCCTACAGATGGGGCCGAAAGGTGGTTGACAATGCCAGGTAAATCCAATTCTTTAAATGGACGATGGCTGTGAATACGTCTCAAGTTAATAACTTTTTGTAAATGGACTTTAAGTGGAATCATTAGAAGCCTGTCTTGTCTAAGGCAGGGGAAGATAATTGAACAAGCATACCGAACAGTAGGGTATTTGCAAAAATTTGGCAATGCTGTCTTAGCATCACCCAAATAACTTTGGGGGGGGAATCTTTGCTGTTACAGTCAAGGAGGTGTGCGCTTGCTGCCAAGAGAGACATCAGAAGTTCAAAACCTGCTTCCAGAAAATATTACAGAAGATGACAGAGAGAAAATCTACAACATTCTTGGACAGGCAGTCTGCCGGCCTGCTGGGATTCAGGTTAGTCTAAAATTTGCAGATGAATAATGGCTGAAAAGTCAGATGCAGTACTGTCCTTGCTTACAGAATTAGAGTTGATTGACCATTTCACATATGAATCTGCTAAAGGTTAATCAGAAGGCCAATGTTACTAGATCACTATTGCCTGGGTATTTCTTTATGTAGTGTATTGGAGGGCCGTGCTCTCTTGCACAATCAGAAAGGAACAAGATGTGGTACTTAAAGCATTGAAAATGTAAACTATATCACTGATGTAAATCAGGGGTCAGCAACCCGTGGCTCTGGAGCCACATGTGGCTCTTTCATCCCTCTGCTGTGGCTCCCTGTTGCTGGTCGGCGCCACAATTTTGAGAGGATCTTCCAGTTTGGGGGGGGGGAGGGGGAAGCACAGTGTGCCAGGAAATGACTCTATGGCAAGGGATGGGTTTTCCGGTCAGCTCCACAGTTGATAGGGCTTTTGGTTGGGACAGTAGAGGAAAAAGGATGCCATGCTAGGAGGAGACTCTGTGGTTGGGGAACAGGACTTCCGGTTGGCTCTAGAATCGAACATGGGGGGGCTTCCGGTTAGGATCTTTGTGGCTCTTTGAGTGTTTAAAGTTGCCGACCGCTAGTGTAAATCAATGGACAGCATGAGCCTGCCTTAAACTAGCTTGCTTAAAAATAACCCTTGACAGATATAGGATGAAAAATGTTTCATTTATCACCTTGTCATCTGCTTTGGTGTTACCCGGTGGGGTAATTGTTACATTTAAATCCCCCTTCAGGATGAGGATATAACCCTTCAGATTGCAGAGAATGAAGACAACGAGGAAGACGATATGGTGGATGTGATCTGGCGCCAGTTGTTGAGCAGTTGTCCCTGGCTCTTGGACCTGGAAGAGAACTCAACCGAGGGTCTCATCAAAGTGTGGAGGAAAGTTGTAGACAGGATCTTCAGCCTTTATAAGCTTTCCTGTAGTGCCTATTTTACTTTCCTGAAACTTAATGCTGGCCAGGTAGGCAATTTCGCTGTATATATGATATATATGATGTACAATGACAATAAGGGCTATACTATAAATTGTGCGCTTTAATCAGTTTGCAAAGAATGCTGTTAAGCCACCAAAGTTTGTAAAAAAAAGAACTGTTCTCTCAGCAGAGCTGGTTTCCTCTTTTGGGTCCGTAGGTTCCTCTTGATGAAGACGATCCCAGATTGCACCTCAGGAATATTTCAGAACAGAGCACTGATGATGTCATCGTAATGGCCACCTTGAGGTTGTTAAGGCTGCTTGTGAAACACGCCGGGGAACTGAGGCAGTATCTCGAGCATGGACTGGAAACGACTCCTACAGCTCCATGGCGGGGTATGAACATTTTTAGCAGTTCAGAATTCTATTCTCATAAGTCTTCAAGCAGTTCTAGAGAAATAAAACCAACTTGAATTAATAGGCGAAAATTAATTGGTTGCAATTATCCCCATGCTGATTATCTTTGCATTTCATGGGGCTTAATTTTGAACATGGTAGACCTGGAAAAAATATAGTTTTACTCCCTTAAGGAATTCAAGGACTTTTATTCATTTATTGAGCTTGTCAACTGGAGTGGTTGGCAGTTCAGCAGTTCGAATCCCTAGCGCAACGTAATGGAGTGAGCTCATTACTTGTCCCAGCTTCTGCCAACCTAGCAGTTTGAAAGCATGTAAAATGCAAGTAGAAAAATAGGGACCACCTTTGGTGGGAAGGGTAACAGCGTTCTGTTTCAGAAATGGAATCTCTGGCATTTAGTCATGTCAGAGATGTTTTGGGACAGCAGTGGCTCTTCGGCTTAGAAACAGAGATGAGCACCACCCCATAGAGTCCAGGAACCCCATAGAGTCGGGAACGACTAGCACATATGTGTAAGTGGAACCTTTAGCTTTATTCATTTGTTAAATTTATATGGTGCTCATCTTGAGTGAGTATAGAATTGAATGTTTTCTTTTGTGATATTGTGGCATACTTCACAAATGTGTGTCCATTTCTTACCCTGAGCTTCACAGCTTCACGGTACCGAAATGGAATCTTTTGTGCATTTGGAAGTCAAAAGATATTTTCTTGACAGGGTGTGAAAATGTGTGGTAAATATAGAATACGAGTGAGACAACATTGCTAAAAAGGCCAATGAATTTTACGATATAGCAACCAAAACACATGCTTCAAAATATTGGCTATATTCTGCATTGTTTTGAGTTCACCCCTTAAGAGTTCTGCACAGATTGGCTTCTGCTGGGCAAGATAGCTATTTGCAGTAGCACTTCTAGCTTACAAGCATTTTCACGCTTGAGCTGTAAGATGGTCAAGGATGGTGCATGTGCTAACAAGAGATTATACTCGTTAAGAGTTTCAGGGCAGTAAGACTGAAACGCAGCTTTAAGTGGTCAAATGCAAAAAACAATCAGTTGCGGCATGCCAATCAATTCTTTACTACGCTGTCTGCTTTTTGTCTTCGTAAAGGCATAATTCCTCAACTCTTCTCACGTCTAAATCACCCAGAAGTGTATGTTCGACAGAGCATTTGCAACCTCCTCTGCCGAGTAGCACAAGATTCTCCTCACCTCATCCTGTACCCTGCAATTGTTGGCACTATTTCTCTGAGCAGCGAATCTCAAGCCTCAGGTATATTTGATTCGGCATCTTTTGAAATGTCTAATTTCTCTAGGTCGTTTTATCTGTTAGCCCTGTTGCGAGTCTTTTTGCCAGCAAAGGTACATAAGGCAGGCTTTTCAATCTATCTCATACTGTTGCAAAGTTTAATCTTTCCATGCGCGGGGTGTAGCTAGTCCATGAAATTGCGTGCTCCCCCCCCCCCCCCCAATGCCAGGGAACCTATACTCAGTACGAAGCACATTATCTTGGCAATTCTAATGTGAAGAAAACATCTCTTACTGATCCTGTTTCACTCTTATGACAGTTCTTCCCCATCTATTCAAAGTGCTCTGTGTCGACTTTTGGATTTTTGCCTAGCAAGTCTAACTTTCTTTTCTCTTGAAAACCTAGGGAGCAAATTCCCCTCAGCAATCCCTACCTTCTTGGGCAACATTCAAGGGGAAGAACTGCTGGGCAGTGAGTGTGATGGGGCCAGCCCTCCGGCTTCTCAAGAGAGCCTCAAGGAGGAGGCCAAACTGGGCTTAAATGAAGACCAGGCAATGATGCAAGACTGCTACAGCAAAATTGTTGAGAAGCTGTCAGCTGCAAATCCAACAATGGTGTTACAGGTATAGTTTCTGTCTGACTTTTTGCTGCTTGTGTTTAAGCTGGACCTTCCATGCTTTTAACAGTTCTGGCTTAAAGCAGGAAGGAATTGATGCTCTCTGTGTCAGAGTCACAGTGGTTTATATACAAGACCTATATATACATACATATACATGCGTGTTAGGCAAATACCAAGTAATCAGTCGATCTTCAACTCTAGACAGAGAACTACAATGCAGATAGAACACAAGGAGAAACACCCTCACATGGCCTCCCTTATATATACAACTTCTTAAAGTGGCAGCAACCCTGCTGACTCATCCTCACGTCATCATCAGAGGCTGATCAGCTATTGCCCTGACACTTTGCCTTTGGGAAAAAGAGCCTTGGGAAATCCATTTCTGCCTTTGTACCAGGGGTGAAATTCAGCAGGTTTTGACAGGTTCTGGAGAACCGGTAGCAGAAATTTTGAGCAGTCCAGAGAATCAGTAGTGGAAATTTTGAGTAGTTCAGAGAACCGGCAAATACCACCTCTGGCTGGCCTCAGAGTAGGGTGGGAATGGAGATTTTGCAGTATCCCTTCCCCTGCCACGCCCACCAAGCCACACCCACAGAACCAGCAGTAAACTTTTTTTGAATTTCACCGCTGCTTTGTACCGTTAAAAGAATCTTTTGCATTGATGTCAATCTAGGTTCAAATGCTTGTAGCCGAGCTGCGCCGAGTCACCGTTCTCTGGGACGAACTTTGGCTGGGTGTCCTTTTGCAGCAACACATGTATGTCCTCAGGCGGATTCAGCAACTGGAAGATGAAGTAAAGAGAGTCCAGAATAACAACACCTTACGCAAGTAAGCTTTCTCTCCCAATGCACAAGGTGATGTGCTGCCACCTGAAATGTCCTCTGAGAAATTAGCTGGATGATTTCGCAAAGAATTTTTAGCAAAAAAAAAAAAAAAACCTTCTGAGTTTCATTCTTTTCCCCAAAAACAGGATAGAATAGAATAGAATTCATTATTGGCCAAGTGTGATTGGACACATAAGGAATTTGTCTTTGGTGCAGAATCTCTCAGGGTACATAAAAAGACAAGAAAAGATACAGTATTTTTTGGAGTATAAGACGCACCTTTTTCCCTCAAAAAAGAGGCTGAAAATCTGGGTGCTTCTTATACACTGAATACAGCACTTTTTGCCTCCCGAAACCCCGCCCCCTTCACCAAAGTGGCTGTGCATAGCCTTTAGGAGGTTTTCATAGAGCACCTGGGGGCTGGGGAGGGCAGAAATGGGGGAAAATGGGCTGTTTTTTGCCCCCCACCCCCCCAGGAGCACTCTACAAGCCTCCTAAGGCCTATTCATGCCCTTTTTTAAAAAAAAAAAGGGGCCCGTTTTTGCGAAAAAGGGCCGTTTTTGGGAGGTTTGCAGAGTGCAAAACCTTTTTAAAAAAATTTTCCTCTTCAAAACCTTGCTGTGTCTTATACTACGGTGCGTCTTATACTCTGAAAAATATGGTAATGATAATCATAGGATACAAAGATGCAATCAAATCATATTAGGAATCAATATAAATGGTAAGGATACAAGCAACAAAGTTACAGACTTGCAGTCATAAGTGGGAGGAGATGGGTAAGAGGAATGATGAGAAGACTAATAGTAATAGTAATGCAGCCTTAGTGAATGGCTTGACAGTG